CTAAAATTACAGATTGTATAGTTATTGTTAAATTGTGTTAGAAACGGTACGTATGTATGTAGTGGTAGGACGTCTTCTCAAAACGATGGAAAAAGGGAGTTGTTCAATGTAGAGTAAGTGAGACAAAGAAAGAGCGCTAATTGCACTGTTTAGTAAACTGGTTTAAGCAAATATTATAGTAAATCGCTATTTCATAAACATATTATCAATAATTAATAGTTGATAATATGTTGGTAATTTACACCACACGTAAATTGGAAGGGATTTTACAAGTAATTCATGCGCGCACGCGCCGCAGCTTCGTTGTGTGAACAACCAAACTCGCGAACATTGGTAACAAAGATTTCTAACGCATGCGTATACGGAGTATGTGATCACAACATTAGCGAATGGGGATTACGATGATAGAGTAATCGACGCATGCGTATTACGCAGGTGTTCACTGCACAGATGATGTCACGTCTGCAAACCACATTCCGATGATGGTTAAGAGGCGAATAACTTGTTTTGTAGGAGGGTGCAGGGTAAGCGGGAAGAAGTTGGTAAGCGGAGAGCATTGTCTCATTCTGTTGTGGAACGTTGTGTGAAGTGAACGATGATATTTTGGAAAAGATAGTTGGAAATAATGTAAAGAAGCCGGCAGTGCCGAACTGTGTAATTTTTTAAAACAATCACGTTTTGTTTGCAGTATGAAATAGTTGGAGTCGTTACCACTATGGCGGCGTTATCCGTTGCCACAACCACCACGACGGTGGCAGCAAGTAAGAAGCTGGGGATCCGGCGCTTTCGCAGGCGATGGAGCGGTTAGAAGGCGTCATGGTAAATGCTCATCATGTGCGAGAAAAAAATGGAGGCACTGACGTCAGCTTGCGAGAGGAAGCGCGATGCTCGCGGTAACGTGAGCACAGAGCTCGCCCAAGTGCGAAAGTGCAGGACCATTCTTAAGGTCGTTCGTCTTCAAAGAGAAATCCTCCAGCTGTCGGAGAAAGAGACGCAACTAGTGGAAGAAGAACATAAGTTGCGTCTCGAAGAAGACGTCCTAGCGCATGAGGTAGAAACGAAGCGTTCGAGGTACGAGCGGCTCTGTATGGGTACACAGAAGCTGGTGCAGCAGTTGACGCATGTACATAAATGCCCGGGGAAAGGTGTGTGTGAATAGTTAAGTGTAGTGAAGTGTAATGTTATATAGTACTGTTCTAATCTACTACTAATCCACTTATGATAAGACAAAGCCCCACTCTTGTAATATACCCCTACTATAATACTAAGATAGGAATAACCTATATATGTCGATGTTCTGCCATTTATAGTCTGTTTGACTACTATAAACTTATGGTCTATTTGAGCTAAGATTTTACTAAGACAGAGCAGATAAGTGTGGTATAATTCCTACTGGCTTCACAACTGTTTTGTCAGTAGTAAAGTGAAGGATGTAATAATTATATTATAATTACTTATACAGAGCCGAACTTGTAGAAAAACATTTGGCAACATATCTTGCAGGTAGCATTTTTGAAGGGCGGTTCCCGATCATCGGTTGCGTCGCCATTTTTTTTGGCAGACAGTTGCCCATCTATATTCTCCTGCGACACACCCCTTTAAATTAGACTACTGACTTAATGAAATGGGAGATATGAAACAAACCATTCTATTTTCAAACCAAAATTTCATAGTCGTACAATATTAGGTGATGATATAATGAAAAAATTAAACATTAAATTTAATAAACCTAATTTATCATTTCTTTATTGAAGATGTTTATCAATACGACCTTAATATAATATTCCTCAATATAACGACTTCCTCGATTTAACAAATTCTTCGTAATCCTCCTCCATTGTCCAAAAGATTCAACGTAAAATATAACTTTACATTGCAAACAACCTCTTCATACCGAAATTTGTATAATTAACGAATACTGTCAATCCAAAAGAAAATGGACAAAATGACTCATTCCACAATATTTTTAAAGGCACTACTTAACAAACAAACCTACATGTTCTTCATGGCTCAGTTGAAAGGGCAACGTCTGCGCTCGCGAAGCTGGCGTTATTCTGACGACGAGAAGGTACAGTTTCCCACGGCAAGTTCCGTTAGGAAGACAGATCAGTCAGGGACATACTGTTTCCAGGAGAAAGGGTAGGGAATACTTCGTACGACATAGATGGCAGAATGGGCGAATACCCATTGTCTAGGCGTGCACGTTGGTATCCATTTATCTTTCCCGAAATGCCCCCCGAGTCGATTATGCCCATCGAGAAACTGGTCTGTCATCAAGAACTGTGGTGGATTGGTTCTAGTTTAAAAAGGAGGTTCTGATCGACTGAGTACATCGTCGATCGCAAAAATTAAGTGCACCGGGGAAGCTAGTGAAAATTGACGAGGCTAAGTTGGGAAAGCGGAAGTACAACCGGGGTCGTATTCTTCGCGGACAATGGAATTGAACGGGGTGAACGCGGATCATATCCCGGAAAATGTTTCTCGTCCCAGTGCCGGACCGAAGCGCGGAAACATTAATTAAAGCCATTGTCAATAATGTGTTGCCTGGTCCGTCAATTATAACTGATTGTTGGCGTACTTATAATTTGTTGACTGAACATGGCTATCGCCATCTCACCGGCAACCACGAACTTAATTTCGTTGACGCCGTACTGGTGCACACACACAAAACATTGAATGTTCGTGGGTGGAAGAGCGTAAACATGTGCACAGGGCCACACTTGTGAAAAAACATTTGGTATCATATCTTGCGGGTAGCATTTTCGGGATGATGGTTCCCGATCATCGGTTGCCACGGCATTTTTTTTTGGCTTGCAGTTGCCCACCTATATTCTCCAGCGAAACACCTTTCGACAAACCATTCTATTTTCAAACCAAATTTTAAACAATTAAACATTAAATTTAATAAACCGGTTTTTAAAAGATTCGGTATACTTGGCATTACTGACGCTTATTGAATAGGGCGAAATTAGTTTATACCGACACAGATTTCCTAATTTATCATTTCCTTGTTGAAGATTTTTATCAATACAACCTAATATAACATACCTCAATATACCGACTTCTTCGATTTCACAAATTCTTCGTAATCCCCTTCAACCTCTTTATACCGAATTTTCAACTATCAAAAAAATGTCAAATACCTCCAATTAACGAATTTTGTCAATCCAAAACAAAAGAAAATGGACAAAATGACTCATTCCACAACATTTTTAAAAACAGTACTTGACAAACACATGCCTCTGCATCAAACATGCCAATATCGATCTGAAATTGACTGCATTGCAAGTAGTAGTAATATAGCGGTTCTGGATAGTAGTGGGGATGATTATTTATGGTATTATTATCTCCTTTCTGCGCATGCGCGAGGCGCGGCTTGTAATCTTCCGACCAACGAGCGTTCGTTCTTTTGGATAGGAGTGGGCATATGACCGTATATAGTATTATTTTTCCCTTATGAGCACGCGTGGTGTGGTTTGTGTGTGTGTTCTTGTTTTCTGATTGGTTGTTGTTTTAGAGGGGGAGGCGAGCGCTCGTTAATCTTGAAAAACAAGATGTCGTCGTCGTGGGAAAATGACTGCTGCGGCCATAGCTGAGGCGTGAAATATGAATATGTGTGATAAGTGATAATGATTGTACTATTGTTTTTTTTTTGCAGAGTGGGGTGGATCATCTATTTTGAACTCTTTCCTTAGTAAAGTTGAGTCGGACGTAATTTAAGCTTGAAATTTGAGTCTTTTATACTGATATAACCTGGTAGACTTTTGGAACGAGAAACACACGTGCGCCTAAGGCGTCATTCATGAAGAAAACAAATGGTGATTATAATTTGTTTTTATAATTAACAACAAAGGTCGATAAGTAGATCCAAGTGCTACTGAACATAAGTATAATAATGGTTAAAGCGTCAACAACTCTACCACGGTATTATAAGTCGTCTAATGACTATTACATTAAAAGGGCGATTCAAACATCATCTGTTTTGCGTAATGTCTTGTTTTGTATCAATAAGATCAATGCAAGGTATTTGTCAAAGAATGATCTGTGTAGCATTATTCTAAAAAGCGATATACCGGATTTTATAAAGAAAGCTATCGAATCCTTAAGTAAGACTAAATAGCAACTTTATTTGTTATTTACTTAATTCTGAATTATTTTGTTAAAGTTAAAGGTTATTTTTAAATAAGAACATATTTATATATATCTAGTTTGTATTACCGATAAGTGAAGTGCTCAAAATGTTTTTATGTGAATTTTGCGGCTTATCGTTCGAAAAACTAGGGAAACTGCTNAGGTCAAATACCTCCAATTAACGAATTTTGTCAACCCAAAACAAAAGAAAATGGACAAAATGACTCATTCCACAACATTTTTAAAAGCAGTACTTAACAAACACACGCCTCTGCATCAAACATGTCAATATCAATTTGAAATTGACTGCATTGCAAGTAGTAGTAATATAGCGGTTCTGGATGATTATTGATGGTATTATTATCTCCTTTCTGCGCATGCGCGGGGCGACCAATGAGCGTTCGTACTTTTGGATAGGAGTGGGGGTAGTGGGGTATATGACCGTATATAGTATTATTTTTCCCTTATGAGCATGCGTGGTGTGGTTTGTGTGTGTGTGTTCTTGTTTTCTGATTAGTTGTTGTTTGATATCGTTCGGCCAATGAGAGAACGCGAGCGCTCGTTAATCTTGAAAAACAAGATGTCGTCGTCGTGGGAAAATGACTGCTGCGGCGGCGGCGGCCAAAGCTGAGGCGTGAAATATGAATATGTGTGATAAGTGATAATGATTGTACTATTGTTTTTTTTTGCAGAGTGGGGTGAATCATCTATTTTGAACTCTTTCCTTAGTAAAGTTGAGTCGGATGTAATTTAAGCTTGAAATTTTTTAGTCTTTTATACTGATATAACCTGGTAGACTTTTGGAACGAGAAACACACGTGCGCCTAAGGTGTCATTCATGAAGAAAACAAATGGTGATTACAATTTGTTTTTATAATTAACAACAAAGGTCGATAAGTAGATCCAAGTGCTACTGAACATAAGTATAATAATGGTTAAAGCGTCAACAACTCTACCACGGTATTATAAGTCGTCTAATGACTATTACATTAAAAGGGCGATTCAAACATCATCTGTTTTGCGTAATGTCTTGTTTTGTATCAATAAGATCAATGCAAGGTATTTGTCAAAGAATGATCTGTGTAGCATTATTCTAAAAAGCGATATACCGGATTTTATAAAGAAAGCTATCGAATCCTTAAGTAAGACTAAATAGCAACTTTATTTGTTATTTACTTAATTCTGAATTATTTTGTTAAAGTTAAAGGTTATTTTTAAATAAGAACATATTTATATATATCTAGTTTGTATTACCGATAAGTGAAGTGCTCAAAATGTTTTTATGTGAATTTTGCGGCTTATCGTTCGAAAAACTAGGGAAACTGCTGAGACACTGTCGATTAATAGGTACATTGCGCTCGTAACCTTCCTTTAATGTCTATAAAAGGAAAACAGCTTCAACCCTCTACCAATGTTGAACTGAGTTATTTAGTTTTAAGAAAACGTAAACCTTTGAAAGCAGCATCGACTTCAAACAGGGTTTCGAAGATATGTGAAGTATGTTTAGTAAACGTTCCTTTAAATGTTTAGATTCCACACCTCAGAACCATATCGCTGGCAACACGAAGAAGGCTTTAAGGTATGTTATTGAAAACATTTTTTGTTATTTTGTACATATACATATATTTACATGTGTATATTTTTTTCATAAGTTCATAACCTGTAACGTATAATTTACAGGTTGTAAGAAGCAATTTCAAGCAACGAATTGAAACCCTTCTGTTTGAAAACAAATGGGACGAATGTTTGTTGCCTTCTCAGTTTTTAAAAGAAGTAGAACTGAGGGCTATTCCCGAACTAAAACGTCAACTAACTAAACATTCAGTTTTCAAGTTTAATATGGAGTTATTAGGTCAGTACGCTAAATTACTCGAGGATCAGGTAACGATGCCAGTTAAATCATTTCAAACTAAAATGTGTACGGTAATTAGTGAAAAGGACTTATAATCAATTTTTAACGATATGAAACAGCAGATAATAACGAAAACTGATGAATTTCAAGAGAGGGATAGTGGTTGGACATTAGTGAAAATACTTTGAATGAATATAAACCATTAAAAGGATCGAGCTACATTCCTTTGCCTGTCAATGTACAAAGAAAACATGCTTGTGTGGGAACACTCGGTATAGCAAGAAAACATTTATTGTTGTGAATCAATTAAGCCTCTACATTTGTGCTGACTTAGTTAGGTCGCGACACACTACGACTTACTAGGTCAACGGCAAATACATACACAAATGTAAAGTGCTGAAATGTTCTTTGCCATTTAAACCAAATAAATAAATTTGTATAAATACCCTGTAAATATTCGAATAAATTAGTCTAACACCAGGCTCGCTATTATTAGATACTGCAATAGTATCAACTCCTGAATACCGCAAGGTATCAACCATCGGATGCTGTACCAGTGCTACATCTCATCATAGACACAGCAATGTGTCCAACGCTTTTATAAATCGGTTCTTCTCAGAACCACAACTTTGCTAGTCACATCTCTCATCTCATACGACAGAGAGTGGCTACAGTGGTGACCCCAACGTGATGAACAGCAGGATCCATCACTGGAATAGTCGTCAACGAAGGAAGGAACGTCGTCTTGCCCGTCTAGTCGCCCAACTACAAGCCTCAACTCCGATCCCTGTGTCTGGCGAACCTTCACATCTGGACCAATATCTCCAGCATCAACGTTTTTTGCGTGAGTTGTTCAATTTATTGGAACAAACATACTCACCATTGTTGGGTGTGCCACCCGACCCTGCCTTACAATAAAATCAGCTCATCTGCCATAACTTCAATACTCTTATAGGTTCGTCTCCGTCGAAGGAAGAGATTGTAATTGCACAATCTGCCGCTGGTAGTGCAACTGCCTCGCCCCTGGACCGGAGCGACTGGCTCGTCTTCTTAATACTCTCATTACAGATAATCAGCCTCCTGTGGACGGCCTACCGTGAGTATCAGCGACACATATAACGGCACATAAACAAAGAGGTTGCCCAGGCCAGCCGCAACGTGAACGCCTAATCATGTCGCGTCCTCAAAACGCCGATCCTCCCTCCGCCGTCGACTGACTGACCGTGAAGTTGCCACCCTTCGTGCCGTTCGATCCTGAGCTTTGGTTTTGCATGGTGGAACGAAGCTTTGAGGCCTCCGGAATTACATCGGAATCAACAAGGTTCGGATATGTATTGGGCAATTTGGATCCACGTTACGCAGCCGAAGTGCGTGACATCATCATCATCAACCCACCGGCGACTGAACCATATGCCACCATCAAGGCAGCACTCATTCGTCGGCTTAGCATCTAACAAGAGGCTCGCACCAAACAGTTGCTTGGACATGAAGAAATTGGGAACAGAAAACAGAAGTCTCTTTTCTAGGTTATTCTGTCTCGGCAAATGGAATACGCCCTTTACCCGACAGAGTAACAGCAATCTTCAATTTCCCTAAACCTACTACCGCAAAACAATTGCGACGATTCCTGGGTATGCTCAACTTCTACAGAAAGTTTCTGCCTAACGCTGCCCGCACTCATTCAGCTCTGAATGAACTTTTACTGGGGAAAATCAAAGGAAATGCACCACTATAATGGAATCCCACAGCCAACGAGGCAATCAATGCAAGTAAGGAGCAACTGGCGCAGACTTCTCTCCTGCACCATCCACAACCAGATGCTACCTTAGCAATTTTCTGTGACGCATCCGACCATCACTTGGGCTCTGCGTTACAACAATTCCACAATGGAACCTGGGAACCCCTTGCATTTTTCTCCTCCAAACTATCGAACGCTGAAGTTAAATACAGCGCTTTCGACAGAGAACTTCTCGCGATTTATCGCACAATTAAGAATTTCCGCCATTTTCTCGAAGCCCGTGACTTCATTATATTTACCGATCACAAGCCCCTTACCTTTGCCTTCCGTCAGACAAACGCTTTCCCAGACAGTTACGGCACCTCAATTTCATTAGCCAGTTCTCTACGAACATTCAGCATATTTCTGGGAAGAATAACATCATCGCAGACGCACTCTCACGGATTTCTGAGTTATCAACACATATTGATTACTAAGCTTTTTCTACTGCGCAGGAATCCTATAGGGAACTACAACATTATTCTCAACGCTAACCAATCCCTAGATCTCAAACGTATTCACATTCCCGGCTCAAACAAAGCCATTTTCTGCGACATCTCTACTGGTAGGGCAAGACCTTTTTTAACTTCAACATTTCGTTTCGCAGCATTCAAACAATTACATTCCCTGACACATCCTGGAATCCGTGCTTCCATAAAACTTGTGACCCAGCGATTTATTTGGCCAACTGCTAATAACGATTGCGCCAAGTGGGCACGCGAATGTCTCTCTTGTCAAAAGGCAAAAATTACCCGTCACGTTTTTCCACCCTTGGGCGAATCCAGACTAGTAGTAAAGTAAGCGGGGTTCTATATATGGGCCACGGCTCCCCAAATCTAGGCCACGGTTCATCCATCAACATCTTACCAATTTTGGATCTTTAGAAGGTCTTTCTAGGCCATTCTTCATCTTAAGAGGTTGGAGTATGCCCCTTTTGTCAACAATCCCAAAAGCTCTTGTTGAAGACCCTCTGGAATTGTCCTAAAATGGGGGTGGAGCCTGTATTTATTTGAATTTCCCGCTTAAAGCTATTGCTTATTGAATTTTATCAAACGAGATGTCGCTAGAATACTGAAAACGTCATTTTCTGTAAAAGTGTGTGTAATTTGTTTTTTGTCTATTGAATTTTTTTCAATAGATGTCGCAAGAATGTCGAAACAAAATGGAGCGTGGACAAGGCTACGCCAGTTTAAACTTCAATTTTCCCTCCAACATTAACTTTGGAAATAAAATTCTTTTATTGGTAGAATAACTGTAACGATGGTTCATCTCGTTTTATCAGCACTTTAAATCATAAACCAAACAGGCTATTTGCTCAAAGAAATAATGCATTTTGCTGACAATATTACTGTTTACTTACAAATGCGTTAATTCTAACTATATATGTACAAGCGGTTTATAGAAAATATAAGAAACCTTACNCGAACTAGATTCCTTCATAAATTCAGTTGATTTATTAGTAAACGTAATAAATCCGTATTTAGCAGTAAATAGTGAAATAGGTGCCGCCGTAGGGCAAGGCATAATAAATAAATTAAAAGGTGATCCCGCTACGTTAATTCAAGTAGAATGTCTACAAGACACTACCAGTTGGGAAAATATTAAAAAATTATTAAAAGACAGATTCGGCCCTCCAGAAACCACGTCTATGCTATATAATCAATTAACTAGCACATATATTGAAAAAGGAGAACATTACGAATCATTTTATTTACGTATACACATATTACTTTCAAAATTAATAGGTTCAATATCAGAACCCCAAACAAAAACAATATTAGCACAGCATTACAGAAAAGAAGCTGTTAGGGTGTTTTGCACAGCAATCAATGAACCCTATTTCTCATACCTTTTGACTAAAAATCCCGATAACCTTACTACTGCCTTAGCACTTTGCAAAGACAGAGAAAATAGAGAAGCAAATTCTCTGCATTATCAACAAATGAGAGAACTAGGTGCTAGGAAAAATCAAAGTAGTTACAAATTAAATAAACCACAAGTTACACAAATACATAATAGACCCAGACCTACTATGTATGCTCCACCCCCTGCTTTTGTACAACAACCACGCTATTACTAATCCTTTTTAGTTTAGAAACTAACAACGATGTATTTATTAAAGACAATACAAAAATAGATGGAATACAAACACATCTTAATAAATATCAATTACCTCAACCATTTCAAAACTTAAATGTACTTAAGAAAAAACCTAATGATTTCTCTGAAATCCAAGGACTACTAAAGAAGATTGAAGATAAAACGATTACATCTTCAACCAATTAATTTTATAACTCACGTGTCAACTATAACTGTGTTTACAATTATATTTATTATTGTATTAATTATATTATATTACAGAAAATTAAAAGAAAGAAGAATACAAAGGCTACGGAAAAAGTCCCTTCCCAAGAAGATCATCCCTTATATGTAGGTACGAGGTATCCACCAACAATATGGCTACCGCACCAGTCTACCCCACATTATCAATTTAAAGATTTAGAGGGCGAAGTTCAATCCAAGTGGAGGAGAGTTATATCCACCCTGTTAAGGCCAAGGTAAGATAAACAAGTCTACGTTAGTATCAGCCTAGTATATAAGCCTCGCCTTTATAATACATTGCACAACTGAGCTATTGTCTGTTACGCTCCCTGTATTCAGACAAAGTTGTCATTTTAAAAAAGTGGGAATTCATTGCGTTAAAATGTGCGCTAAAAAAATGTATAGTGANTGGTATGACCGTATATGGTATTATTTTTCGAGGAGGCGTGGCTTGTGATATCTTTCGACCAATGAGCGTTCGTTATTTTTGGGATAGGGGTGGGGGTATGACCGTATATGGTATTTTTTTTCGAGGGGGCGTGGCTTGTGATATCGTTAGACCAATGAGAGAACGCGAGCGCTCGTTGAACTTGAAAAACAAGATGTCGTCGTCGTCGTCGTGGGAGGGAAAATGGCTGCTGCTGCTGCAGATGCTGCGGCGGCGGCGGTGGCCATAGCTGAGGCGTGAAATATGAATATGTCTGATAAGTGATAATGATTGTACTATTGTTTTATTTTTATTTTTTTGTTTGCAGAGTTCATCTATTTTGAACTCTTTCCTTATTATGATGATTATAAAAACATGGATGTTCCTCCTGGAATTGTTGGTGTTTTTATCGTTTTAAATTAAATATTTTGACAACTTATTTTACGCGCAGTAACGGATCCATAACTAACGTTATATAATTTTTTCTAAAATTGTTTATATACAGCATTTGAGATATGCTTTGTGTTTGCGATTATAGTAAATTAAATTAAACTTTAGCTTTCATTTAGATTATAATGTTTTTTATTTACATATAGGTATAATACAAAGTAGACCATCGAAGTGTTCCAGTTACTCTATCGCTATACTACTTGTGGTGTCTTAAAAAACCAAAAATTATAGGAACTGACTATTGTTGTTGTTGTAGTATCCCATGTCGTTAGGAAACATTTGCGATTCACCGCCGACGACGATATCCTCCTCCTCGTCATCCACAAAAAAAAAATTTTATCGTCTACCTCTATCAATACAAATAATATTAAATGCTTACCAGATGCAAAGTTGAGTCGGATGTGATTTAAGCTTGAAATTTGAGTCTTTTATACTGATATAACCTGATAGACTTTTGGAACGAGAAACACACGTGCGTCTAAGGTGTCATTCATGAAGAAAACAAATGGTGATTATAATTTGTTTAGTTTTGGAACGAGAAACACACGTGCGCCTAAGGTGGCATTCATGAAGAAAACAAATGGTGATTATAGTTTGTTTTTATAATTAACAACAAAGGTCGATAAGTAGATCCGTTTGACGTAAATAATTTTTTGTATAAAAAAGACTCATACCGGGTGTTAGATCGTTAAAGTACATAGTAGAAGTGCTACTGAACATAAGTATAATAATGGTTAAAGCGTTAACAAATCTAACACACCGTATTATAAGTAGTCTAATGACTATTACATTACAAGGGCGATTCAAACATCATCGGTTTTGCGTAGTGCGTAAATGTATTCTATAGATGTAACAGATAATAAGGTTGTAAAGAAAGCGAAAGGGGTTAAGAAAATTGCTGTAGATAAATTAAGTATAACCAATTACAGAGATTGTTTGTATAAGCAGAAGATTTATTATAGTAATATGTTAATATTTAGATCTCAAATACATAATATATATACGCAAAATGTAAATAAAATATCCTTAAGTTGTTTAGATGATAATAGACATATAAAGGAGGATGGGGTTTCAACCTATGCTTGGGGTAATTACAATATAAAATAAAACTGTTAAATATATTTTTCTTGTTTTTTT